TGACTCGGGAACCGGGCTGGCCCCGACGGGTCAGCTGGGGCCGGACATGACGTGGGAACCGGCTGGCCCCCCAGGCTGACTCACCACCTCAACTGCAAAGAAACCACCTACCCCAGGCCACGGGGCGCCTCGGGCCCCTGGCACTGGCCCCCGAATCCCCTGGTCGGAGCTGTGGGCGTCCAGAACAGGCCCTGGAGGGCATCCTGACTGTGGCCCCCACGGGCATCTGCAGAAGCACCCGGTGGCCCACACCCCATGGGAAACCACGTTCCCACAACACACATGGGCGGGGCTCTCCCGCGTGGCCCAGCCTGGGCTCCCAGCACCCATGTCTGTCCGTCCCTCAGGGGGAACTGACCATCACGACAGACATGGAGGATCTGTCCACGGCGCTCTTCTACGACACGGTGCCCGAAACGTGGATGGCCCGGGCCTACCCGTCCATGATGGGCCTGGCAGCCTGGTACACGGACCTGTTGCTCCGCATCAGGGTGAGGATGGGGTCCCTGGCCTCAGTGCACCCCCCTCTGCCCAGAGCCCGCGGGAGCACGCTGCAAGGGGGTGTGTCCTGAGGCCTGCGGGCCCGCTGGCCTGGCCTTCGTCAGAGCAGGGTCGGGAGGGTGTGCCCAGGCCCACAGACGCGGACAACGCAGGCCCTTCCTCCCGGGAAGGAGAACAGCTGCCTCCTGGGCACGGAGAGAGCTCCCGCCACCGTGGCTCAGGTGACGGAAGCAAGGCCTCTGCTGGGTCCCCAATTCTCCCTTCGTGGCCCTGCTGTCCCCACCCCTCAAGACGGGGCGACAGGAGAGCGGAGGCACGGGCAGCAGCGGCTGCACCATCCGCCGTGAGGCCCTGGCGCTCGGCTGAGACCCCTCTCCTCGCAGGAGCTGGAGGCCTGGACCACGGACTTCGCCCTGCCCACCACCGTGTGGCTGGCCGGCTTCTTCAACCCCCAGTCCTTCCTCACGGCCATCATGCAGTCCATGGCCAGGAAGAACGAGTGGCCGCTGGACAAGATGTGCCTCTCGGTGGAGGTGACCAAGAAGAACCGAGAGGACGTGACCGCGCCCCCGCGAGAGGGCTCCTACGTGTACGGGCTCTTCATGGAAGGTAGGAGGGCGCCGTCCGGGCCCCAGAGCCCAGCG